AAACTAAGATGTTTTCTACGCTGCAATAATAAAAAGGTTTTGCCCTTAGCAAAAATAAACCTCCCTGACTTTTGAAAAGTGAATTATTCAAATACAGCTCATCTAATCTCTAGTTGGGGATGACTTTATTACTCAAACTGGAAAAAAAAAAAAAAACCAACACAAAACCCAAACCCTTAACTTATCCCACCCAATTATCAACATGAGCCAAAAGTCTGAGATGTTGTTCAATGTAAAAATACCCTAAGCACTTTCCAACCAAAATGTATCCAAAAGAAGATGACCGCATCATTTAAAAATCTCATCTTGAAGAGAGAAACACACTACAGTTCAGAAAACATTTCTTCCAACAGCTGCGGCAGTTTAAGCAGCTCTCCCTGCATGTTCCTCAGCCAACCGTCCTACACTGTGCCTTCAGCTGTGCCAACACTACAGTGTGATGAACCACACCAGAAAACTTATCTGAATTTCAAATACAACACCTCCTCTCATCCCAAAGAACCTCACACACCAGGAACAAGCACATTTTTACCATGAAACTTTTTTAATTCTGGTCAGCATCACATAGTTTTCAGCCCAATTACACAATAGAACATGGGGGGCGGGGGGGAACAACACTGAGGAGGTAACAACAGGGAGTCCTCAAAACTATCAATTGCAGAAAAAAACTGCTCAAAACCCTGGCTTTAGTTTTATATATCTGTACAGTAAGCAGTGACACAATTTTCAGAGCAGTCATGTTCTCGATGCCTGAAGCTGTTTGCAAAATCCAGTAACTTAGTTATGTTTACTTCGGTAGGTCTATGGGCAAGACTTCTTCAATTATACTCTTTCTACAGAGGTATTCATATTTTAATGTCCATGAACGGTGCTATACTTGGAGATAGTATATCAACACCATTCACCTTTCCCCCTCCCCTCTGTACAGCTCAATCACCTTCCTAATAGCCAAACATTAGAATACCTTTATCTTTTAGTATGACAGTCTCAAATAAGACTTTCAATATACTTTTCATTTAAAAATAACTCTACAAACCACAAGTAAGTATTATTGTCTCTCTGCAGTTAAATATTTGTGACAAAACATTCTAAGATCAGCCACACAACTTCTACAAATATCCATTCTTCCATTTTTTAGCTAAAGGACAAAATTCCTTCATATGTAACCATGCATGTCTTCGCCAGAGGTATCATGGGAATCAGCATCTTCGAAAGATTTAAGAGAGGCAACACTGACAATGCTTCTATCTAGAAGAATAAATAAATTATAAATTAAACCTGCCTGCTCCACTGGGAAATCAGATGCCAACTGGGGTCAAAAAGTAAGTCTCCCTTTGCTATCAGTTACTAGACAGTTGTGCATTTTGTGCTCTAGATTATGCACCTCTAAGCACTGCCCTGTCCAAAACATCTTGGTACATGTCATTAGCATAGATTCATTTTTTCTAGGATGCAGAGATGACAAAAATCAAGGAATGTCTAGTTATTCCTAAACTGTCTTTCAGATAATTTGACAATATATCCTTAGTTTGTAAATAGCTTATTACTTTCCACTACCCATCCATTCTGACCCATGTGTAATTGCGCCCCTCCCTTGTGGTCTCAAAGATATTTGTGAGTCAGTAAAATATACTGAAATACAGAACTCATACAGGTGTTTGCATTTTGTTGGGTTATTCTTCCTCCCAGCTCAGTCTGCTATGTGGCCAAAACAGCCATACTAGCAGAGGGAAAAAGAAAGTAAGGCTTTCTAATTCAGTTTACCTACACCAGTTCACATGGCTGGTGGAACTCTATAAAGTATAACTTAAATTTTGTATTAACTTTGAGCTAGTTTGACTTCAATCATCTAAACATAGAAAGCTTTATCAGATACAGCTTCAGATGAAACTTCCCAATACTGAGCCTGGAATCTGCTACTGAGAGGGAGAATTAAATTGGTCTAAATATAGACAAACTTAAAAAAATAAAAGCAAGGCTGAGAAATCTAAAGAGCAAACTGGACAACCCAATTGCTTAAGCACTTCTTTGAGGCACAGTTACTATTTGGCAGATAAGAAAGGAAAAGAGCAATACATAAAGTCTAACAAATAAGATGGTGTTCAAAATTAAAAACAAAATCAGAAAAATAAAGTTTAGAGTGGAAAGATACTAGATGAAAGCAGCTATTAAATCAGTAGACAGCACAGGCCTTCTTAAAAGTGATTTACAGAAAAAGTAGTAACCTGAAACATAACATTATGTCTCTAGAGGATGGTTTTATCTTTGAGATAAAAAAGTTGAACGCATCATAGTCACTTCACTGTCTGCTGTATCCCGTCACCTGTCCAACTCAAAGAACAACATTAGGAGAAAACGGAGCTGTGAGCTCCACAGCTTCTGAGATGTTATGTGATTTTTCTGTTCTTTTCAGGTCAAACGATAGCTACAAAGATGGGGAAATTTGTTTTCCTCCTGTTGCTTCCACATTGTCAAGAGACAAAAGAAAAAGCTGTAAGAATAAATACACATTTCAGAATTTATCTTGAATCCCTGTATGCACAAAGTGAAGAGAGGCAGTTAAGTGTTTTCAAAAACAGGAACATTGATATAGTGGAACTAAGCAGATCAAGCTTTCAGACTGTGTTTTAAAAGCACTGAATACATGGCTGGCTGGGCACACTAATAACCAACTTCAAATACCAGCTGAAGTAGCTCTATAATGAAAAGACTGCCTAACTAAATAAATGCCAAGCAGGAAAAACTTATTTTTCAATTACTCTTATTTGCTTATCCACAAAATCCACAACAGAAGTCTCTACTATTTGCCCTCCATCTAATTTATCATATTGAAAACTAATATACACAAATTTGTGGAAGTAGAACTTCAGAACTATTTCGTGTACAAGGCTAATGACTTGGGTTATAGTTCTGAAAAGAACCCTATTGTTTTGGTTGCTTTAAAAAGTGTTACCCACTGTTCTAAAAATAAAATCACAATTATTGAGCTATTCTGAATCTGGATAAAACAGATTTCTTTAGAATTAGGAGTGCTACAGTAAATATTTGCATTTTATTTACCTTATATCCATAAAAGTGAGAATGGCTGCCCTCTGTTTTTTTAATGTCCACATCAGTTATAAATCAGAGCTGCAGTCCTCATTTAATTGTCAACCTGGGATACCCAAGCACGTTCGCATGGGGTATGGTGTAGTACTTCTGTTATTAAAACTATTTTTTTATGTGAGCTCAACACACAATCCTGAGTATGTTACATGGTGGAAGTCACAATGGAAAGAATCAAACCATGTGTCCCGGGTAGGAATGCAAAGTCTAACAGATATAATCACAAAAAACATTTTTAAATAACTATAGAAGAGTAGTAGGAATTAAGAGATGTAACACTGTAGATTACAGCAGAACCCAAGATACAACAAGTCTTAGCTCCTTAACAGAAAAGTCATTCCTGTTCTCAAAAAGCTCCCACACTGTCCAAGCCATAAGACAACATATGAGAAACAAGAGAATTCGCTGCTAGTAGTGAAAACAACAGGATAATCTCTTGAACATAGGCATATCCATTAGCATACTAGAACAGTCTAGAGCTGGCTGTCACTCAAGTTAGAAACTATGTTTTCTGGGTAAAAACTTTGGGATAGAAAGTATACAGGACACATATGCTTTAGCAGTGATGGGAATTTTAGGATTTATTATTATTCACAATTGGTGAAAAGTACTGGCAACCAGCATAATGCAAAATTAAAAATTCAAGTAAGGAAAGCAGTGGGGCTTACAAGCTTTTGTTAACCGTCAAAATATTTATCATATTAGTATTAGGAAGCATGGTGACAAATAAGAAACCTGGAGTTTCCTAAATGGAATTAAGGATTTACAGGACCACGACTGAGTTCTCAAAGCATAGAAACCTGCTCTGGCATGTCACTGCAAAACCAAACAGATGTAAAATAGAGATTCTAAAATGTTATATTGTTTCACCTGTTATTACAAATTGCAGTGTATTTGAATTACATTTGGTGAGCTGGGAGATAAATACTGTTCACAACAGATATATAGCTGTGTTTTGGAAAGGATACCACTCCACAGAGATGGATCATGAAATACCATCTATAACTAACAAATACTAGTGTGCGCAAGAGATTATATAGGACACTGCTCTGTCATTTACACACTGGACATTAGTAAATATTTTCCCCATAGTATTATATAAAAGACATTTAAATAAACAGTAAGAACTGTCATACCAGTAACAGTTGTTCACTGTATTGGAAGGTACAGATGCAGCTATTTTCTCATTGATTTCTGGTAGCATGACATTAATGTAAAGGAAACTTCTGATTACAAGTGTGAAACAATAGCAATTTGCCTTATGGGGTTAATAATCTTTGCTCTAGTAAATCTAGCAGTGTAAGCAATGCTTCATTTTTCTAGAAATCCCTAAAAGGCAGCCCTTGGAGCACTTAAATGTCTTCTATAAAGGGGGGAGCCAGACACACCTGACACTCTTACCACTTTCCACAAAAAGGTAATTCCTAATAAAGGATTGAGAGCTGTTATCAGAGCTTCTCAAAAACTATTTCTGTTAAATATTTTAAGTCAAATAAATTCAAGATGTTTCTGTACTGTAATTCTGCTCAGTCCAAAGACAAAATAGGTAACTGAACAAATACATCTTCAGGGTAACTGAACAAATACATCACTCACAGAACTTGCCACATATTTTGAACCAGCAGAAACACCTCCTATTCCTCCTTCAGGAAGAAGGTGATTTTACTGTGCCTAATGCAATCATCAGCTTCTCTGGAAAATGGTCAGTGTCATGTCAGCTTTCCATGAGAAACAGACAAGGTTAATGCTTCATACCACCCATGATCAGCAGTTATTTAGTGGCACAGTTACCTCATAGGGCTTGAAGTACCTTCCAGTACATAATGGACAGTAGATAAAATTTAGTATTTTTAAAGCTACTTATCAAGGTGGCAAAAGATCACAACTGCTGCTACTCATTGTGTGGATAGGCTGTTGTGGTAGGGGGTCAGGGAAGGGGCAACAGCACTAAAATTATGTTGATATAAACACATGTAGTAATTGACATCCTTAAACAAAGGGTACCTTTATTTTGCTTGCCTAAAAACAGAAACAAGCTTTAAAAATATTTCCTTCTTGCAATTTCAGTGTTTCTGAACCAAATACTGACAAAATTTAATTTATTTTGGAGCAGTTTTCTATATCATACATCCAGTTCATTCATCATCTTGACCAACTTAACACTAGGTTAAAAAACAGTTCCTAAGAATTATATAATCCTTCAACCAAGAACATGAGCTTTGCATTTTTTGTTGGGTTCCCCCTCCTAATTCCTTGATACATAAAACCAGAAAAAAACATCATGTTTAGTTCCTAATAAAACATTATTTTCTCAGTTACAAAGCACTTAAAGAAACACTACTGAAAATTCAATTCACATTTATGTCGGGGCTCGCTTCTGTACATACCAATCCCTTACATAGTTCACTTGCTTGAGTATGAACCATTAATAGCTCAGGTTCAACACTAGATAAGATAAACTATGCTCACAGTGTATATGGACAGGTTTCTGCTTAATTCTAGGTACACTGAAGAAATGAACACTATTTTGATTGTAACACTTCCAAAGAGACTTTGTAGCTAAAACATTGATTTCCCCTCCAATACATGTCAGGTTGAAGGCACTTTTCAACTAACATGTTGATCCCTGAAGTAACTTTGATTTTTAAAAAGCATTCTTATATTACAGTTAGCAATCACCTTCTCAAGAGGGCTCTCATTTATAGTGCATGACTTCATTCTGGACATTTTTCAAATCAGCTGACACCGAGATGCTACAGCTTCTCATAATGAGGAAGTGCTATTTATGCCGTTAGCATATGGTACAACTTTTCCACTGTCCATCGAGGAATACAAGAGTTACCAAGGGATGGTACCACTTCCAAATTATTTAGAGTCTCCAAAATTAACATATTCAACGCTGAATTTTGTGTGCAGACAAAATTCTTCTGAATGCCATTTCCTGTTGATTTCTTCCTGAGAATATCTATTTAGACCTGTGACTGCAAACACAGGTCTAAAAATTGCATTTAAAGGCAAATTACCAGGATTTTGAAAAAACTGTTCAAGTTATGCAACTATGCAAAGTGAAACAATCCAGGACAAACCATAATCTGCTAACCAATGCAAATCAGTCAAGGAATGAGACAGGGGTAACTCAGTAGGCACCTCAGAGGCACCATTTACAATGAAGTCCCATTTCAACTCAGTTATGAAGTTACATACCATCTCTTCAAGGCATATCACTGAAGAAGAGTGAACATACTCTGGAAATTAGTTCAATTAAATCTCTGAATTTACATTTAATTTAGAGAGGGCATTCTCTTAATTGCAAGAGCCTTTCATGCTTTGCATGAAAAAGAAACAATTAGAACAATCTGAAACAAAATGAGTGTGAAATTTCTCCACCATCTCACATGCCACTGCAGCAAGTGCAGTAACAGATGGCCAATTTAACTTACACTCTCAGTTATTAAACATTACCCGCAGGTCCATTAAACTGCTTTTGTACTGGAAACACTATATAAATTACTTAGTACCCACAATACAGAGGATTAACCTGACCTTTTTCTAGGGCATGATACATTCCTGCTCAAAGCCATTCAAATACAAACCTAGAATGATATTAGCTGTTCTTCTAGTGTCAAATTCTACAGTTACATCTTCAGTAGGTGAGCTGGGGAGTGGCAGTCATCTACCTTATTGTCTCTTTATGACAAACACCATGAAGTTAATGGGCACTACAAAAGTGCACAGTGACAGATTAAGGTACTATAAAACAGTCGTGTGAACCCAGAAACTGAAAATCCTGGTCAGCACAAGGAGAAGAAAAAAGCTCAAGTACTGTTTTACACTGTTGCTATCTGCATCTGTTGGAAGCAACTTAGACAACTTTTGTCTGTTCTTATAATCATGCTTCAATAGCTCCTAGAAATGACAATATACAATCTGGGGCCACTGTTATTCCTCTGCCTGAAAAATTTTAAATACTGAGAACTTGATCAAATACTGATTTTACCCCAAATAATTACTTGCCTTATGGCAAGCTACAACTCCCTAACAATGTATATCACAGTAATTGCATGTAAATTAAGATGACTTCTGAAATCTATCATTACAGCTAGCCTGCTTACTTGATTTAATGTGTTCAGATCACTGTAAACAGTATAGAGGATGAAAAGCTGTTCATTATTATTAAAACACTAAGTAAAACTACTTCTGCTTCAAATGACAGCATTTTGGGAGGTATGAAGACAAATTATCCTGTGCCTCTTGTCATATGACCTTTAACACCTGAGCTCTCAAAAAACAACAAACTTTTAATCAACCAGGAACTACACATTTGCTTGACTGAGCTCTAAGACACAGAAAGGTTAAAAGAAACACTGCTATGCATCATAGAAAGAAGATTCAGGGATATGTTTGGCTGGTATACTGTTATGCATTTAGATATATGACCATGTCAAAGCAAACAGAACTTTTAAAACACTGCTCTTTCCCCATAATGGCTTCAACACACAAAAGCCAAAGGAAGTAATAAATATTCCTTGAAGCAACCTGAACCATTAAGAATTTAACTGTATCATTCCTCCTTCTTCACAAATATTTATTTTAGAATAGCAAGGATACTTAGACTGCTTGCTCATCCTCCTTTCCTGACAGAATCACAGAATCATTCAGGTTGGAAAAGACCCTTGGGATCATGGAGTCCAACCATCAGCCCTACTCTACAAAGTTCTCCCCTACACCTACACATCACATTTCTGCATGTGACAATCATGTGACAATCACATTCCTTCAAATATGGGCAACGGGCACAAACTGAAACACAGGAGGCACCATCTGAGTATGAGAAAACACTTTTTCACAGTGACTGAGCACTGGTTGCTCAGGCAGTTTGCAAAGTCTCCATCCTTGGAGATACTCAAAAGCTATCTGGACATGGTCCTAGGAAATCAGGTCTAGGTGGACCTTGAGCAGGTGGGCTTGGATCAGATGACCTCCAGATGTCCCTTCCAATCTCAACCTTTCTGTGATTCTGTAAAACATGCAGCAGTCTGACCAATGACAAAGAATCCATCTCTGTGTAAAGTAGTTCTCATTAATTGCTGAAAGATCTATCTGCCAGTATTAAGACTGTATTCCTGATACTACTGTTTGAGAATAGAAACAAACAACAGATTTGGACAGCATGCAGAACATCAAATCAACAGCATCCATGAAAATCATGGATGATCTTTTATTGTCAGCTCACAGGAGACAATGATATATGTACCAACACCTATAGATAAATATGATCTCTAAGAAATGGCTGCATTAGGGAAAAAACACATCCCATCTGATAGTGATGATCTGGCCTCAACTACATTCAGCTTCATCACACTCTAGATGCTCTACAGCAATGCTGATAATCCAAACCCTAGGGAATCACAACTAGTGCTAAATATAGCAGTCATCATCATACTGCAAGTAGCACATGAAACCCATCCATACCTCTACACTTGCTTCTCAGAGAGGAAATTCAGGTGAGATCTCAGATCTTATCTTTGTGAAACCTGGTTATCTGCCAACATGGTACTAAAAGGCATCTGGAGAACCATGCAGTGCACTGACACACCACAGATTGCCTAAAGCAAAGGTGAAGCTCACCTGCATATCACAGGCTCTTCCCCACAGTCAAATGAAGTCTGTGTAATGAATTCCTACAGAAAATAAAACCACTACAAATATTATTAGTATCTTATCTAAATGCAAAGTATACTTTGGTGATCTGACTTATTACTAACGTAAATATAGAGCAGAGAATAACATAACATTTAATAACATTCCTACTGAATTTACCTTGGGGAAAGAAAGAACAAACCATCCATAACAGATGTTAATCACACTGCTTAATTAATTTCAGGCATTACAATAAGGAGAACTAAATATGAACCAAAAACCTATACCAAGGAGGTAAATCCATCAGAAAATGCCACATTTAGCAGTTCAGGACACTATGAAAAAACTGTGTTTGAGGCAGTCAAGTAGGTATGCTGGAACACAACATCTTCTAGAAAATCATGCAATGTCACAGAGAAATAAGAGAGCACCTGTGCTCTTGCTGGGTAGAACATTAACATAAAGGGCTGCCAATGGCTTGGAAGCATTATTCTGTAGATATTTAAATGCAGACAGACAGACTTTAAACACTTCAGGCAAGAATATTTGTAATTCTTACAATATTCCATCATAAAATACCACAGTAGGAAAAAAAAAAAAAGTCCAAATACTTTAGTATTGGCAGAGTTCATATGAAGAATGTCTCTGGATTTTTCTCAGAAACACAATGTAATATTGTTTAATTTCTCTCATGAATCTTGCTCCCCTTTTATGAACTCTATCCTGTTATAACAGAATTTTATATGTATTTTTTGTTTCACATCTGTTACACTGGAAACTAACTCTCATTTTTGTCTTGTAACACTGACAGGCACTAAAAGTATATCGAGTATATGGAGTATAAGATTGGAGGGCATTCAGCAAAGCAAATTATTTGCATGTTTACACTTCATGACAAAAGGTATTCTATCACATATCCTACATTCAATACTAGGGTATGGCAACTGATAAAGCATATGTGTGTATAAGAATCTCCGGTCTTCAAAATGGGCAAACATATTTATTTTCTTCTCTTCACATAGAAAATATTTTATATATATATACTTAATATTAACCACACATTCGTTTTGTTTAGCACAATTAAGAGCAATACTCAACTCCATTATAAGTCTTTGGTGCTACTGTCTTGCTCTGGGATTTACTGCATCTGTGGTGACAATGACTGATGCCATCTTCTCCACCACTATTCTCATCTCTCAGCTAATGACAATTTTACTTTTGGAACAACACTTTATAACCATACAGTTTTAGTAATTCTTATTTGTTAAAATTTTTGTATTGTGCAATAAGCATAGCAAAGACAAGTGCCATATATGAACTGAAGAAAACAATGATACATGATTTAAATGAGAAATTCACAACAGAGTAAGAGGATGCAAAAAACAAATGGATACTGTGTATCTGAGAAAATTTAAGTACTATGAGATAGATTTGTGCTATAAAAGTAGTCTAAGTTTAACCTTTAATCTGCTGCTCAAAACCAAAAAGTAAAGTGTACAGTTTTAATTACAATATTATCATAATCAATGGAAAAACTGCTTTGAACTATGCCTATTTATGTTTACAGATAGAAGACTTTCATAGAAGTCCAACTTAATATTGTATGTTGAAGTTCTTATGCAAATAGGAATTCATTTTTTCTTCTCTTTACTGTTTCACTAATAGTTCTGTAAGGTACATTGTCTGCATTCCACATCTGAATTGTACCTTCCAGAAGAGGTAATCTGTTAGCAGCTAGGACATACATTCATACACAGAAAAATAAACGCATGCTAAAGATAGCACCAAACAGAACTCACTGAAGAAATTTTTAGTTTGATTTGCCTAAGGCAACTGAAATAGAGATTTATTTCCAAGAACCTTAACTAAAACTCTGAATAAAGTATCTGATACAAATTAATTACCTTACACCAACTCAGAGGCAAAGGGAAAGGTCTGTGTCAGGTTAACAAATGAAATTTCTACTGCGAAGCTTCCTAAATTGAGAAAAATCTGGTTAATGGAATCCATTTAAGAGTCAATAGCTTCCACTATGGCCCTGACACAGGACAGTGCTTCAATAGACCTAATATTCTCTTACAAATGTCTCCAGTATTATGATGCTGTCAGCTTCCCTTTGCTGTTTTCACCTCGCACTCTCCCATTCATTCACTGCCACATCCACTGTAGCTGATCAATTTTTATTTCACTAGCTGCAAGAGAGACATCTTCTACTTAGAACTGTTGAAGTAGTAGAGAACACATTTCAGGCCATGCTCACCACATTTTCCCTTCCCTTTTTAAACAGGTGCATGACATACAAACATGTGTGATGAGCTTTTTCCCAGGGGGAAAAAATAAAGTATGTATTTACATATGGCACAGAATATGCATAAAGCAGAGAACGTCCTCTTGCAAAAGTCCATTCATAATTCCAGTAAGAGCTGAACTATAAACACATTCTGCTAATCTGTCAAGTGTTTCATATATGTTGTTGGAAGTTAGAAAGCAGATGAAAATGTATTTTACTGACAAAACATTCTCATTACTGCAAAGCACATAGGTAACAAGCCTACATTGTTCCAGTACTTACTCCTAGAAAGGAGAGTATACTCAATCAAGGAATGAAACTTGAAATGATGAGTATTTCCTCTTTCTACTGAAACTGGGTAACTGTCACTTACTTCTATGGAAATACAGTCAAAACAGAGGGGGGAAAAAAGGGTCTGAGAAACATCTCTATGTAATTGTGAGGGAAACGAATACAAACAAATGTGTGTACACAAAGTCTTCCTTATCTAAGTAAGCCAGAACAGCCTCATATAATTTGAAAACCAGAAAGAAATTTTTTTCATCAAGCATGCCAAATGAACAGTCTTTGTGAAGAAGTTGGTCTCAGAATTAAAACCCAATACATTATGCCTTAAGAAGAAAAAAGGGGCAACGGTTTCAACAGTTTGCTATCTTCAGAAGCTATTACAACCTACACAATTGCATAGGACAGAACACCATTCCCCAATGCTGAGTCCTGCGCTTCCTTGCTTTGGTGAATGCAAGAAAATGTGAACACTTACTAAAGGACCTACTATTCAGAAAGCAAGTAAAGGAACATTTCTTTTTAAAGCAGCTTACTTTAATGAATTCAAGATATACTATATATGAGGCCATATGATCAAGAAAAAGACTCATATATCTGCTTATATACTTCAGGAGCATTAGCAGGCTGATTTTGCTCACAACATTCCAGGGTTTACCTCATGAGTAAAAATACTGCATCTGTTAGAGTCTTCTCTAATCTGCTTTAACCTGCACTCACATATTTCAGAAATTGTTCCTCTGTATTACTGCAGAAGTTAATAAGGAAGAGAGAAAATGCTACCTCCATTTATAAAGAGGCAGTTCTTTGTAAGGTGACAGTTCAAACCAAGCATACATTTGTGAACAAAACTCATCTCGCTCTCCTGCGCCATGGAAGAAAGTCCCCTAAAAGCCCACATGACCTCCACCTTGAGAACTCATCCTTTCAAGAAGAAATCTCCTTTTTCCACACAGTCTATTCAGTTAGGGATTTCCCTTTTCCATGCTATTTGTTTGGGATCACAATCTAAGAGAAGATCAATGGCCACTAAACTATGCCAATGAAAAGAATCTGTAAGCAAGGTGACTCCACAGACTAAGCTCTGATGAAGCATCTGTCCCCTCTCCTCCTCTAAGGAAACCTACTCTGTGACTCTGACCTCCAAAAGTAAACATAATTCAGTTACTTATGTTCCATAGCAGACTGTGGAACATAGGCAAAAGTTCTTATACAAATATGTTCCATTAAAAATGCAAATGTAGCTTTGATTCTTTAGTTAAATATACTAAAACAGCTTTAAAAATACAGCTCAAAGTGCAACGTTCAGAATTTTATTGTGTGTTAAAAGTTTTTGCCACTGACATAGAATGGAGAACTTAAAAAAATGCAGGACTTTTCCCACTGCATGTTCCTCATACCAGCAACCTCTGCCTCCCCAGCACACTGCCAATCTCCTAGCTGTCGCACTTGAGCTCAGGCTGTGAATCATCACTTTTATTTGTAAAGCGCACAGCTCTATTTTTGACTGAAGCACACAGAAATTAAAGTCAACTGCCTAAATATTAGAAAACCCACACAACAAAATTCCATAAAAACACTACTGTCATTGTAAAACGAAACTGAAATTAGCATCCAGTTTTTATAATTGTTTTTACTGAAGATCATCTAGAAGATCTATTATGGTGACTAGAACACTAGGGAGTAAAGAATTTTTTCAGGCTTGCTCATAACTTTTCACCACCAGTGCTATCATATGGTATCACCAACTCATGTAGACTCTATTTTTTAATTTACTAATTACTGAATAGCTTTAATGGGTTCCATAAGAATAGTGTCATTTTCCAACCCAGCTGTCAACCCTGCATAAGTGAGTGCAGTAGTACTGTTTAGTGCTTTCAAGAAATCTGACAGGAGTGGCATGACATACTGGCAGACTGTAAGTAAACAGCAACTCACATTTTTATTAAGGTGTTTAGACTGAATCCTAAGATTCAGGATGGATCGTCAAACTTTTCATTTTACACACTTTTCTCATCTCTTCTGCCCTACAGATGGAGCTCTGCATATCCATTTCGCAGCCTACTGACAGAAGAGGAGCTACAGCTGCAATCCCCCCAACTGTACCAGGGAGCCAGATACAAGCTACTGAATATGGAGAAAAATTAAATATTAAAAATTGTCAAAAGTGAGTGTAGTTACTCTATAGATTCTCTTCCAGTTAGCTAATATACCTTTCACAATTTGTCTGTCAGTACCTTGTAACTTCACCTTACCCTAAATTTTTTATCATGGAAGAGACCAATATCACACACATACAAGATTGACACGTTAGAGTTAAGATTAATTTTCAGTTCTTTTGGAAAAGTAATAAGCATACATATAGGAAAAAAAAAAAACACAGTACATTTCAAGCTTGAACATATCTGAATGCCTTGATCAGAAACTAAAACACTTTTGAAACCTCATTATAGAAGTTAAAAGAAAAGGACCAGTTTAAACACCAGACAGCACAGACGCAGAAAACTACTTCAAAAATGCAGCTCACATTTACCATTTATACCTACACAGAAGAGGGTAACAGGAGAAAGGGAGAAGCCTTATCACAAATGACTTATGTTAACAAAGTATAAAAACTGAATGTTTCACTTCTTTTCTCTCAGTGAACTTTTCTTTCTTTTTTCTGATCAAATACCCCATTTTCTTCTGTGCATTTCTGTAGATCAAATTGAATAATTTGAACTTTCATACAAATATTTATTTTTAAAAATTGATCTATTCTGTGTTGGGACCAATCATGAGTATGCTCTGCTTAAGGCAGGAGCTGTAGTCTATGAGATCAGGTTAGAAAAAGCCAAGTTAAACTGACAGCACTATAAGAATACTTGAAAAAAAGGCAACTCCGAAGTAAGATACATGCCTCAGATTCCTTATGTCTATTGGGAACCAAGCTATACCCAACATCCTGTGAAGGTCTCGCTTCTCAGAAGGAAGGAGAAAGATATATTAAAAAAAAAAAAAAAAAAAAAATCAGCATGACCCTCACTTATTTTAATCCTAGAAAAGCTCTCACTCTTGTCTTGCACTTTTTTGGTAAGGTAACATATGCACAAACCTAATGTTTTTATTTTACAAATTCTCTAAAACCCTTTGGGACCACATCTAGCTCAAGTGAAAAAATATCATGGTGTTTGACATGAAGATACAGGAGAGTGATATTTTCTTGAGAGCAATACTCAAATTTTAAGTATAGGTATTTTAATTCCTCTTTGTATCTCATTTGGTAGACTCAGGGAATTTTTTCCTTCGTTCTTTGTAAAGATGAAGCAAATCAATTAACTTATTTGCCTTTTTTCCTCAAAGCAATTTCTGTAGACTACATCACATGCCAAAAGTAGATTCATTCTGTATCGTCTGCAGATGGAGCAGGTGATCAAACTGATTTTACTTCACTAGTTTATGACTTCCAACAAACCAAGGCTTTCTTCAGAAATGCCATTACAGCAAGAGTCAATCCTACTAGATGAGACACACAGCTCAAACTTCTGGCAGAAAAGTTTCCAGCTATCCTTTCATGATCTAAATTTCAGCAACATCAATCAGAAGAAAGAAGCTAACTCTTAACTTTCATAACTCAATCTACCTCTCCAGTCAGTGCATGACTCCAGTTTAACCAGCAGTTCACATCAATTTAAAATGTTTTAGGCACAAAAATATTGAAAACTACTTTACATTGACTTTACTTTCATATCTGAACCAGATGAACATAATTTGAAGACATTAACTTCAATTGAATGTGTTAAAAATATATGCCTTATGTGATTCTGCTGCCACTCTACAAGAGAGCAAGACACTACAAAAACTCCTGGAAAAACACAATTGTCCCACAGAACAAACTGAACATAATTTTCTTCTTCCTCAACTATCACATGTTGCTGGCCATCTGATCACAAGAAAAACAAAACAAACACAAAAAAAGTAAAATCAAATCATCACTTGTCTAATGAATGTAACAGGTTCTGAAATGACCAATTTAAAACCTATCTCAGAAAATTGAGTCCTTCTGCCTAAGGTTGTTTAGTGAATTATTTGCCTTTCACCTTTTTTTTTTTTTTTTTTTTTTTTTTTTTTTTTTTTTTTTTTTTTTTTTTTTTTTTTTTTTTTTAGAAAGTGTTGAGTGTTTTCCTTGCATACATCATCCCTCTTGGCAGAAGTCTGTGCTCCACCAACACTGCCAAATACCAGGTCACCTACATTTGTGACTAAATTTTGTCTGAAGGACTGTAAGTCTCCAAGTAGGATGGTGAAATTATCTTAAAAGCAAAATAAAGAATTTACTTCCACTTCTCCAACCTCTTACTGGTTATGCTGAGCACTCTAGCTCTATCTCTATGGATCTAACTCTTTCCTAAAGTTAAAAGCAAATGTTTCATCAGGAGTACCCTGAAATTTTGATTAAAGTATTGAATAGAAACTGGATTATAAAACCCATTTGTCTTCCACAGGCAAACAGAACTTCCTTATCAGTAACTTCTAGTTAGGGTTGACCCATATTGAATCAGAGCAAAAAAATCTATAGTGAAAACATTTCTAAAATGCCAGCTGCAAACCTGTACCCAGTTTTGCAAAAAGGCTCTTTTCAAAGCAAACAAAAAAACCCTAACCATCAAGACTGACAATTTAATTTCAAATAACTTTCCCACCTCTCTGTACATCACATGAAATTCACATCACCAAATAGCAAACAGTGTCACAAGGCAGTTACTGAAAAGGCATTATAATGCTCACTAAAGGCAGAATTCTCTGAACAGTTACTATCCCTTGCAATACCAGCATGGATGGACATGGGGATCTCTTCTTCTGCAGTTTACTCTTTCTCACTGTGATTTCAACTTCTGCTTACCTCCTGATGCCCTAAATGCTCCAAAAGCACTTTTTCATACCTGAAAGCAAATCTAAAGCAGAGATTGATCTTACATTATAATCTTTCTAGGGAAAGTCTACTTCAAGCAAGGTACTGCTTGCTTATCAAGCTATTAATTTTAATATTCCAGCAATAAGATTTTTTTCCTTTAAATTCCAATCTGAAGACAAGTAATCCAGTAATAGAACATCAACGTTAATTTAAGAGAAAATGAAAAAATGGCTTAATAACACTGCAGGAGGATAACATTCTACAGTAAGTCATGGAGGCATAAAATTTTCAAATTCTTTCTGTACCACTGTATATTCCTGCTAATAGACCAGAGCACAGCTGAAAGATTTTTAATATCTTGCTGCACAAAAGGAAGGAAAAAAGCTAACTTTTACAGTCTTAGTTTCCCTAATCAGCAGTAAAATGGGGGGGTGGGGGTGGGGGGTGGGGAGAGAGAAGGCAAGAAGCCTCTTTCCCTTGAGCAAAAGACAGAAAATGAGATATAGTTAACCACAAAATTCAACTCCATATTAAGCCTCTGTTTAAAAAATGACACTAAATAGTACCATTAAAAAGTTTTCACAAAGTTTTAACTAGAGACCCACAACAGCACAGGCCAAAAAAGCCATGACAGTAGTTTGCTACTAGTTTCATTTGATCACCCTTCAACTGGAAGCTGAGGTACACCCGTAACTCAGGAAACTTCTTCATTACCACAGTTATGGATGAATTAGTGTTTTGTAAAGGTGACCATGCCCTTACCAGAGTACAGCCTTTTGCTCTACACAATATCAGACACAATATAAAAGGGAAGAAGATTTCTCTAATACAAGGCAGTAAAAAAAAAGTCAACATTTTGGACACAGTAAATGCCATGCCACTGTAACTTCTCCCCACACACAATGCTTAGCCATTCAGAGAAGGGGGAATCAAAGAGGAAGGTTTACGTAGAAACCAGCAAGTATCTCAATCCTCGCAGTTAGATACGTACACACGTTCTGCACCTACTCAGCCTCAGACTTGGTGGAGAATGCAGAACACAACACGGGATGTCTTCACCTGCCCAGTAATACTACCTCACATTAGTTTATCCTTTCCTTCAATTTTCACATCCTGAATTCCTTAAAATTTCACTAAGGAAAGAAGAAATGAAAGAAATTGGTTCTAACCTGGCAGCTCTTAAAATCTGACAGTTCTTTCTAAAAATAACGTTATTCTAATCCTATTTCACAAAAACTGATTTAAATCAAAATGTTTTATAAATTGGTGATCAGAGTTTAAATACTGATTCTCAGTCACTGTTCACATTTAAACACACCAACTTGCAATAAAAGATGGGTTTTACATGAAACTCATCACTTTTTGTCAACTAAAAGAACTAAAGAATATCTACGTGCATTTACAAAATAATAAAGCTTAGTATCTGTACTGTTTTGTTGGACATTTCTTGTTTGCTAACTTATTTGTCTATCCATAGTTTAGGAATACATCTGAATGCAAATTGGAATTAAATAGAAATTTACAAATAGAAGAATTTAAAACTTATTACTTGGTTAAATATGAAGTTACCTCAAATTCCTAGGATGATTTTTTTTTTTTAAGTTTAAGACATGCTTTGTATTTAGAGGAACTACTTCTGTTAGTAAAAATGATTGCTTCAGACTGTCATACCCTGCATGACATTCCTTCCCAACACCTCTGTTTACAAATTAAAGCAAAGAGGCCAGGAAGCTAATTTTCTTTCTTACTGTTTCATGATTTCATGTTAATCATTAAAATACTTAAACCAAACCAAAATTAATGAAATATTTCCCGCACTTCCAGAAGAGTGTATAACAAGAGGTAGTTTAGTATTTCTGTACAAGTGCTTAGCCAGTGACTCCATAACTTCATGACTCATCTGCTCCTTTATAGCATGTAGCAAGTAAAAGCTAGTTGATTCAAAAAAACATATGTGGGATTTGGCATATCACAGAGCTCTTTCAATTTCTGAAGCATTATTTTGATAAGGAATTGACAAGTTAACATAAAATTCTAAAAAGTGAAGTAACTTCATAATGGCAAATACAATACAATAAATATAAAATACAATTCAGAGTAAAAAGTCCTTTCAGATAATTTACATAAAATATAGAGAACATATCTAGAGAGAATGTATATACTTAAAATACAGAATATGTATATGTTTATATAAACACAGATCAACATTTTCGCTTATTTCCCCACTAAATATGCAGACACACAAAAAATATGGTCTGGATTAAAAGATCTTTACTTTATTCCTGACTGTCATGGAATATCATCGCAGGGAAGAGAAAACAATAGAGAACTTCAGTATTTTTCTATGCAGTGAAGAGTATTTTAAAACCTACATAAACAAGAGCATTTAATACGGCCATTACTCAAGCATAGTCTAAGATGCACGACTTCTGTTTGACAACACAGGGCTTGAAACGCCACCCTCACACACATTTATATGGGTAAATACATTCAAAATCTGTTTTGAATTTTGAACTCTGTAGAATGGTTTAAAAGTTTTCTTAACTAAACCCTTATAAAATCCATTAAATGGATTCTGAACAATTTTACTAGAGTGCAGAAACAGTTACAAACTGTTCTTGTTCTTCACAGAAATAATCTTCAACTTGAATTTATATAAATTATGTGCCATCACATCAGTAAGATTATCTGCTTAACTTTTTTATTTTAAAGCAGCTAGTCTCTCATTTGAATAACTTGGTAAGCCTAACTATAGAACAAGCTGTCAT